GCTTCCAAATGACCTGCAAATACAAATGTACATAAAACAAAATCTGTAATAATAATAATAAGAAGAAAACAAGGCTTTCAGTACCAGTACATATATATATAGCGCTTGCAGCACAATAGACATCATACATTCAGCATGGGGGCAAGAGACAGGCACTCTATGGGACAGCTATGCTTTTGGGGTCCTTCTTTACCCTACTCAAACATTTACGCAAATCTCTCCAAACCAACAAGGGGAAATGTCAGATGCGCTATATGCAAACGATGGATTTCTGTTCAATCAAAACAACAGTCGTAGCTCTGGAAGTAAAATTCCCATTCATTTTTTGCATAAGGAAACATGATTAGAAATTATAAGCCATGTTAATCATTGGTCTGATTTTGTTCAAGCTATTTGTTTGGATTTATGGTAAAAACGTTACTATATACAGTGGTTTGAGACAAAGGGCCCTATTATACACCCTTCGTAATAAGGCGAAAGATGCATTTGGCGTGATTTGTTGCTATTTTCAGACCAGCACAACAATCTTTTTCACGTTTTGCGCCCTGTTGTTAAAATAGCAAATCCATTTGCGCCACTTTTGGTCCTTTTTCCACTGAGTGGTACGGTACAAATCGGTATGGGTCACCTTTATCAGGCTTGCGTTTCCACTGCCTTAAAGGCTGATTTATACTTCTGCGTCAAGCACACGCGTATGCTACAGCGCAGCCTACGCATTGACGCATAGCCCTACGTCGTGCCCATCAGCGTCGCTGACGTGCACCTCTCAAAAAATGTTACTACACGCTACATAGCGCAAGCTCTGTGATTGATCGGCTTGGTAGCGCTGACAAGTCAGGGCGGGACCGAGAGCCGCGCGAGCCTGATGTAGCGATTGTTTAGAAGTGTGGAGTCCCGTGAAGGAGCTTCGGATGGAAAGTTTTGTTTTTTGTTTACCTCATAGTTAAAGTTGTTGCATGTCCGCTGGTTCCTGCCTCATAATGAGCGAGTTTGAGCCACTTATACATTCAGGAAGCGTTCAGAAAAAACAAAACAGCAGTGAAGAAACTCGACACATAGGAACATAAACTCCTCACGGCCACTAGCGTTTCGGAAGTGTTAATGCAGACCAATAGAGACAGCGCGCAGAAGTATAAATGCACAGCTATGCCATTGCATGCGCCATGGGTTACGCCGGTCACATGACGCAGAAGTATAAACCAGGCTTAAGGGTACCCTTTTGGTGGGCGTGGTGTACAACAAAGTTTCAGTGGACGTCATTTTTACTCGAAGAAATGTCTACAGTAAGGCTGTACGGGTTGATGACATATCATATGAGAAGCACTTCTCACAAGGCTTTATACACATAAATACTGCATAAATGTTCAGTACTAACCTTTCTATAAACATGATTTGATTATAACTGCAGATCAATCAGTGTGAAAGAGCCTACTGTAACGTCTGCTATTATATAAAATCAATAAATAAATGCAACATACAGTATATGAACACATACAGCCCCTTACAGTCTCCGATATGTTACCAATTACAGATAAACTACACACAGCATACATTTAGTCCTTATTGGGTACAAAAACAACACAAAACATATAGCCCACAGTCAGTGCAAACCTCTCATCTGTGTCTGTAATCTTCACCAGCACATGTAGCCTCTGTTAGAGAGTATTCTGCCATTACGAGTTCATAATAGTCCAAAAGGTAATGATAATAGTTAAACATGGCAGTTTGTTCATCTTTTATGTAGCAGTAAGAATCATTTGCTGCTATTTTTTCCGGCTTCTCCTTTGTTTTTTTGAGCTTCACTCTCGTGTTTGTCCCTTTCTGAAAGGATTGGATATCAGAAGCGATTCAATAATCACGCGCATGATATTAATATGAACTCAAGAAATTTCGTATTTCAAATATAGACATGCGGCGATCTCTCTGGAGTAAGTGAAACCGAAAACTCTGTCTTTGCAAAGGGTACCAAAAAGTGGCACAATACGGTTCGCTTTTAAGTACCTTTTGACAGTGGAAATAAAAGTGTCCCAAACCGATTTGTATCGTACCGTACCACTCAGTTGAAATGGACCATTATGCAACTCTGGAACGATGAGTCCTCTCACGGATTGATTCGTTCATTAGCGATGGGGCACATTGCACAGGTGGGGGAGAAGATTAACTCAATTTTTTGAGTCTTCTATCAGATTTGAGTCCTTCCTTCATCACGTGAAAGACATAAGGCAAACAAATGTAGTCAAAGCTGGAAAACTATTTGATCCGGAGATCTCTTGAATCCTCAGGTTGGAATCATTCATCTCTTTAGATGCTGTCACATGATGAACCAATGACACAAAAACCCAAAGACTCGAAAGGGGAACTAATCACGGGTCCTTTTGGCTTAAACTGTGCAATGGTTAAGTTTATATGGGACTGTCAGAAGAAGTGAGCCGAGCTAATCATAGACAAAAGATGATAACAATGAGTATTTTCTCTAGTTTTGATGTGATTCTGTTGTGATCAACAGTGGGCTAGTTGTAAATGCGTTTAAAGCAACACATTCATTTTCAGATTAGTCCCTTCATTAATCAGGGGTCGCCACAGCGGAATGAACCGCCAACTTATCCAGCATATGTTTTACGCAGCGGATATCTTTCCAGTTGCAACCCATCTCTGGGAAACATCCATACACACTCATACACTACGGACAATTTAGCCTACCCAATTCAACTGTACTACATGTCTTTGGACTTATGGGGAAAACAGGAGCATCCAGAGGAAACATGAACGCAGGGAAAACATGCAAACTCCACACAGAAACAGCAAATGACCCAGCAGAGGCTTGAATCAGCGACCTTCTTGTGGGACGGCAGCACTACCTACTGCGCCACCCTGTTTAAAGCAACTTCTAACATTGTAATTAGATTTTGGCAAAAAGGAACGAAATGAATGAAACCAAAGGAATCTCTGAATGAGACTGAATAAAATGACCCAAACTTCCCATTACTATAATGCAATACTATTAGGATTTCCTTGGTTGTTTCTTTGTGGGTGTTTGGAGTTTTCATTCGAGAGTGTCCTCTGGCCTTTGAAGGAGATTTGCAGTCGATCACAACTGTGCTTCCTTGACAAGATGTGCATGACAACTGTGGCTTTGCTCAATCATGTTTGCCACTTGATTTCAATGAATTGCCCAGCACTTAAATGAGCAGTTTTACATTTTACCTCCACTTTTAATTTGCTCTTCGCAATGCCCCTTGGGATTGCTTTTATTTCCCTCCTAAAGTCCTTAGCTTGTGCGTTTGTTCTTTAGCCTCACAATTGTTAAATTAATTAAACCTTATTATGAATTCAACTTTATGATATTGTGATTCACATTGTTAATTTGTTCCATGGCTTAAAAACACTTCAATAGGAAAAATGAATGGAAAAAATACTTCCCAAAACATCGCTGGTGAAAAATGGCGACACACTAATGCACTCTACAAGGTGCAACATTCCTGCAAAACATGTTTGTGGGAAAAAGCTCCATTTTCAATAATCCTTTCATGCCAGCCTGATTTTACCAAGTAGGACATGTTCCTGCATTCACATCTGTGTTGTTCCTGGAACAACATCCAATCAGTCAATCAGAATTATGCGATATGCTTCCAGTTTATGCTAACGATTTATGCACTTCTACATGATTGTTATCCAACTATTATTCCTCTCTGATTTTAGGAATAATTCACAGTTATGGTTGGGTTTAGGAGTATGGAAAAGGTATGGATTACATTTTCCAACAGTAATGATGTTCCAGGATCACATCGTACATGGCAAAATCATGACGTGTGTCATTTCAATCGGCTCAGAAGCCATCTTCACAATTACAGTGAAAAGGAGTGAAATCCGCACAGGGAACTTTTCCGTCCTCGTGGAAAACTCTAGATCAGGGGTCACCAACCCTGTTCCTGGAGAGCTTCCTTCCTGCACATTTCAGTTGCAACCCTGACCAAACACACCTGTTTGTAATTATCAAGTTCTGCTTTAGGTACTATTAATTGGTTCAGGTGTGTTTGATCAGGGTCGGGACTGAATAGACTGATTTCACGCGGCCGCCATTTTCAAAAGCGAAATCGAGGCTGCGGTGGGAAGAAAACCGGAAGTATCATTGGGAGTTACATAGGAATGTTGTGTAACTGGCTGTATATCTTATCAGCGAATATAAAGTGACACAAATTTATCATTTCTCCGCCTTCCGGGTGACCCGGAGGTCTGTTCTGAATGAATGGTGAATGTAAAAAGGGATATCAGAGCTCATTTTCAGCTAAGTTAAGGGAAATGGAACTAGTTAGCTAACATTTTCTTTTCCAAACACACGTTTTAGATGCCATTCATCAAACTCGAGTTAATAAACTGATTCTTTCACTATATTAGACTCGTCACGATACTGAATTAAAAGAAAAACCGGCAATTTCGCGCTAACATTTAAGGCACTGTTGATGGCTTTCTTAAAACAGCGCTGATTTGCCATTGTGTTCACGTGTTCAACAGAAATGATTGTGATTGGTCGAGAAGGTCATCAGTTCACCCACCGCTGTACACTGAGCACAAACACAAACGAGCCGAGCGATCTGCTTGGTGACTCGACTGATCTTGACGGCTGCTTCGCGCTCCAGTCCGTGTGTCTGTGTTTGCACTGGGTGAAGAGAGGTAAACTGAGTGCAAACCAAACACAGATACACGGAGACTGAAGCGCGAAGCCTTGAAGATCAGTCGAGTCGAGACATCCGCGCTCAGCAGCGCTTCCATGTTAGCGGGGAAATAGCCGGGTTTAAAATTTCAGTACCAGGACAACACTATTACAGACAACACGAGGGTGTGTTGCAGAGGACTGCTTTGTTTTATCACTCACTGGGTTACATAGACTGAAGCAGGAAAGCGTCCTCACGGTGTTTCACTAGTGCCATGAGCTGAAGCCTAGGAGGACACTTAAGCGTATCACTGAGATTGTGATCTTGTTTGATGCTAAATTGCTTTTAATTGTTTAAAATAAACTTACTAAATAATATTAAAGTGATGGTTACACCATTTTCTGCATTTTAAAATCTCGGCAACAGCTGGAGGTTTGTAGTACACAGCATGTTACTGCAATGTTTACAGTGCTCATCCTACACTTCCGGGTTTTTTTCCACCGCAGCCTCGCTTTGGTTCTTTAACATGGCGGCCGCGTGAAATAAGCGTATTCTGCAGGAAGGTAGCTCTCCAGGAACAGGGTTGGTGACCCCTGCTCTAGATCATGTGCATTCTTACCGGAGTGACTGCAAATGTGCTCATGAGTGAATATACAGATGCATCTGAAACGTCTCGCTTTCCCCATTAACAGTATTTTCTGTTGGAAAACACCTCACACACACCAAACACACACACACACTAAACTACACCAGACAGATGAGCACACTTAGCTTGTTGCAGTAGAGAACCCGTTCCATAGTTATTCAAAGGCTCAAGAGCTGCAGACATACAAACCCTAAATCACACACACGCACACACACACAAACACTGACTTTTGGTATCTTAAAAACAAATAGAAATCAATGCATGGTCCCTATAATTACGATTCTATGGCCCTACAAAGGTAAAGGAATGCCCTAGGCTGGCTGCCTGCCATAAATATCAAAATTAGACTTTTTATCCCCTCTCAAACTCGACCTGGAGAGGAAACACACCTGTGTTATATCTAAAATGACATGACACACACACACATCAGGGATCCCCCCACCCTCCTCCCACAAACAACAAAGTGAACTGGCCCAAGGTTTGATTGGCTTAAGGAAAGGTACAAGTTCTTGTCTCTTCATATCAAAACCAGCAGCGTTCAAATGCGAGTGTTACCGTGGAAATGATGAGATGCTTTTAGTAAAATGGGCACAGACCATCTGGCAGGCCGAGACTGAAAAAAAGGCAGGCTAGATTCTTGGTATGTGGTATTTCGGTCGCTGTCGTTTCTGAATATTCTATTATGGCACAAAAACAAAGAGCGCGAGATTGCATTCACGCTGCTTTTCCCAAACCCCCCCCATATTTAAGAGTAGTCCGACCCTCGGCCTATCATTCAGCCATCGTCAGGTGTGCTTGGCTCTTCAGGAAACTCATCAGATGATCCGCTTTTGTGGATGCGCCCGTCGCTGCGCATGCTGTGGAAGGTTTTCTTAAAGGCTTCCATCATGGAGTGGGCCAGTTTTTTCGCCTCTAGTTTGCTCTCGCACTCCACAGCGTGGCAGTCCATCTGGAAGGTCAGATCGTCGTTGATTTGTCGGTAGATCCACGCAAACACATTGGGGCTAATGTCGTGGTCTGCAGTGCAGTATGCGATGCGCGCCACCTGGAAGGTGTCCATTGCGACGGTGGCCTCGCCGCGGCCGTCCAGGTGATGCATGCGCACCTGAAATGGCCGGATTTCTAGGATGGCATTGCTGGAGGTGATGGAGTCATCATGGGTGACCGATGTCTGCTTTGTGTCCCATAATCCAACCACTGCCGATTCGGTGCAGCCGGATAGGAAGTGAGTGCCGGAAATCGTCACCTTGCCGAGGTACGTCACCTGGAGAAGAGGCAAACACACAACAGAAAACGTGAAAAGATGATTTGGGTGTATTTTCACACCAATGGCCACATGCATAACAAAGGCTCATTTACAATCATTTATTCATTTCCTTTAGTTTATGCTGAGCTCAGACTGCATGATTTTCAAAGTAGTCGTATCACCGATGTTTTCCAAGCGCCAACCTCTCGCTCTCCCTTGGGAGGCCAATACGAAAGTAACTAAAACCGCAATTCATCAAAAATCTGCTAGTCCTGGCTCCATAATAGAGCAAATTTCAATTGAGCCCATTGTTAGAATGGCCAACTTTACAGCAGAAAAAAAGGTGTTGACAGCCTGGTACAAAGAATGATTTTGGTTCATAAAGCTAATATTACCCTTCATGACAACTGTGAGGGGGTGAATTTTTTTATAACTCATCAGTTTCCTTTATATAAGGTTATATTAAGCTTGCATAATTAAGGGCGTGGCCACTTGATTGACAGCTAGGTCTCGCTGTCGCCGTCACGTCACCTCAGCTGACTTCGGCAGATTAGTCTCTGTTTTCTGCATGTTCATCCTATTTTTGTTTTGTTTATGTGGTTTTACACAGTCAGTTGCCTTTTAGGATTATTTCCTACAATTACCAGATGATTTGTGATGCTGTGTGCACTTAATTGTGCTCACAAACCATTCACGTGGCCTCCGTTTCCCATGGGAATAAAGTTATATACTTGTAAACCATCTCTATTAATGCATTTGTTTTATTTAAGATCATTTATAATGTTCTTTAGAGCTGTAATGGACTGCAGAATCTGACAGATTGATTAGATGTGGACTGTAAAACCGTCATCTGAAGTTATCATACAATGTTATGCTGGATGTCATCAATAGTCTTGCGTTTACTAACACAGACTATATCTGAAGTGTTTGGAAGTAATTTGCGTCTTCCTCTTGTAGGAAAACATCATAAGAACAATGTTTAGTGGCTCAATGGGTTACAGCAGTGTTTTTAAATGACTAAACACTTTATTGATATAGTGTACAGCCATATAGTCAGAACACAAACGAGTCGCAGGTGATAAAGTATTAAGCGTTTTCCCCAAGTAAAGTGTGTCTGAGCCAGGTAAAAGCTAAATGCCAGCAGTGTCTGTAGCTCCGCTCACTCTCCGCCTCTTTGCCCTTGTTTGGTATCCCGCCGTGAGTGTGATGACGCGCGAACAAAATGGCGACGGTTGGCCGCACCTACTTTGGCTTCTTTTGCGCTCTTCAGAAACCTATGGGTGACGTCTCAGATACTACGTCCATATATTTTATAGTCTATGACGTTTTCACACTGCATGACTATCTAGGTTAGCGTTCTGTCGGTGCTGTTACAGGAGAGTTCACACTGCATGACTTTAAAATAGGAAGAATCACAGACAACTTTGTCCAAACTAAGTCTCACAACCAAACAAACGTGAGAAGTGACATGGAAACAACGCGAGGTCATGTAATACGTTTCACTATTAAATACATAATGAAAAAAGAAGGCTTTAGCTTTAGAAACTTGTGTTGCTCGCCTGGCTTTTGAAGAGAATTAACAATTTCTCCTCAACTTTTTTTTTTTTTTCGACCTGGTTGTGATATTGCTCAGATGACATATTAAAATGACATGGTTAAAATTTCCACAAGTTTTTCCTCCATTTCTTGGGACCAAATAAACTGATAATGTGCGCTTTTAACTCCTCCCCCAGCCTCATGCTGGCCTGCAGGTATTCGCTGCTCTCTCATTGGCTGTAGTTGATCGCTGATGTTATTTTTAGTCAGAAAACATTTCACACGGCATGGTTTGAATCGCCGACAGCTCCAGATATTTAGCATGCAAAATATCTCACGGGTGTCTGCGACTCATCGGCGATTCTCTCATATCGCGTCCTTGATAGTTCATACTGTGTGATTGTCACTGACGTGCACGAGCATCGATTTGCTTATGATTTTAGGCATTTGTCTGCGATTTCTCAAAACCTGTCGGCGAATCAAAATCATAAGTCTCTATTTCAGAGGTCGCCACAGCGGAATGAACTACCAACTATGCCAGCATATGTTTTACGCAGTGGTGCCCTTCCAGCTGCAACCCACTACAAGGAATTTCTGCAATCATAGGCAGAATTTTCTTAAAACAACGCACATTTGTACAACTGTATTTTCTATAAGGCGCACCATAAGAGCCTTACATTTTGACAATCACAGGCCGTGCATCCCACTTCTTGACTGTCAGAGCACTTTCCGCCGACATAGGATCGTAGTACGTACACAATGTACGCTGGCAGTGATTAACAAAAGAACTCAAACTGCTGGAGATCTTTGTTAACAGGGCATTCAAAATGAAGTTTCATTAACTCATTTCGAGAGGAGCATGTGATATGATCGAGCACGACTGGCTTCTCCTCTGTAATCAGTAAGGATCCAATCAGAGTGACCCAAGCGTGCTATAAATGGATTGTTTTCTCCTAACTGCTCAATCTTCGTTTTGGAAGAATCCCCCCTTCCACCCCATCTCCTCCTTATTCCTCCCTTTTCTAGAGGAGCGCTCGAGACCTACCTGATCTCGGATCCCCTTATATGCCTATTGACCGGGCGGGAGCCTTGGGCTCAAGTATTTCCGGGCTCAGGGTTCTCTCCCGGGACAGCATGCCAAACCTGCTATAATCACTAAGCATATATAAGTGGGAACTCTTGAAATGAAGTAAGCGGCGTGTGAGCGATAGATGACAGACCTTACTAAGAATGGTAGGCAGCGCTGTGGATGCCTAGGCTAAGGTATCTACTTTAACCCCCATTAACACTGTGCGTCAGCGTCAACACTTCCCATTCACTTTGAATGGGTGACGTCAAGCGTTGCCGAGCTGAATTGTGGATCCGTCTGCGCTGCTTCAGTGGCATCGCTTGCTGCAGAAGTTGAGGATTTCTCAACTTTTCAAGTGCCAATGGAAGTGTCAGTCAATTAGATCGCTTTATGCAAATACCCCAGCTCAAACAGTAGCCGATTGCCGACTAATTTCATTGGCTGATGCTGCCAAAGACATGCAGTACAGGTAAATTGGGTAGGTTAAACTGTCTGTAGTGAATGAGTGTGTATGGATGTTTCCCAGAGATGGGTTGCAGCTGGAATAAATAAAGGGACTAAGCTAAAAAGAAAATGTATGAATGAACAAAGCTTAACTTCCTTTGTTTAAGTTCCTTTGGTTCAACAACAAAACACATTTAGGGAGTAAGATTTTTGTACCGGGTATTGAGCTAATCTGCTGTTTCCAGATCAGTTAAACGAGTAAACAAGACGATTTCCGAGAAAATGAGTAGTTGTGGATACCTGCTTCTTGTTGTGTCTGAACAGTGTGTGTTTTTGGCATGAAACTGAGAAGAAAACGTCAAAGTTAAAAAAACAAAAGCAGCGTCTGGCCGTTTGTTTTCCCCTTCCAGACATTCTGTTTAGTCTACAACCACAAGGTCTAATTCTGGCCATTCCCATTCCTTCACTTCATTTGGAGAATGCAATTAAACGCTTTTTATTGCTTTAAAGACTGTACAAACTTTTGAAGACAAGCACAAACATCTGTGCGGTACCAGAATTTCATAGCAGAGCAAGCGGAGAACGCAAAGTCATTCCTCTTATGAACATGATTCGAATATTGTGGCTTTTTCTCCAGATGAGTTTTGTTTTTCTGAATCTCGTTCGTTCTCTCGCGTCTGAAACAGAAAGATGAGCCGGGGAGAGGAAATGCCAGTAATATCTCTGCTGAAAGCGATTTACATCAGAGGAAGAGGATGAGTGCTTTCTTCTGGATGAAGTGTTGGAAAGCAGTAACAGATGAGGATGTGTGTTTCCCAATACCTGATGGATATCATTAGGCCTTATTATCGTAAATGACCACACAAACTCACACATGCACACACACTTTCATTCAGCAAAGATGCATTCAATATTTTACAGGTGTCAGAGTTGGATTTCTATTTTAAATAAATGCTTTTTCACAAAAAAAGAAAGAAAAAAAAAGATGAATCACTTTTTTGAGCAAACCAACATATTGAAACGATTTCTGTGACACTGATAACAATGCAAAAAATGTAGCTTTGATTAAACCACTTAAGACACCGTTTGTCATGATTATTCTGTTTATTAAATTGGTTACTTCTTCATTTTTTTTACTTAGTGCTGTTTGCAGAATATCAAAGTTGCAGTTGGAGACATAAGAAGTCTATTTTATCAGACCTATAAGTTGTTTTTCACATGACGTCATTAATGACGTTCAAAATTCAGATGGAAGGCAGGATGTGATTCTTCTACGTAGGAATTGCAATCAGAACGTCAAAATGTTTCTGTTAAATATTACGTTTATTAATGTTTAATTTGGCCAAAATAAGAAATGCCGAACAGCTTTTATGGACTTCCAAAAGCTTTAGCTCATAAAGGGGAGAAAGTAAAAAAATAACTGGCTGAAAAACGGAAGAAAAGGTGCAATTTAATCAACATTTTTTTCACACAAACTTTTTTTAAATGCGATAATTCGTTTTACAGCACCAATAAAGATTATATACAGGCCTAATTATGTGTATAAATATTTTAATGTGAACTATCTGCTGAGGTGCAGAGGAGGTATCACATGAGGTGTACCGGAGGCAAGCATTGTCAGTTTATCCTGTTGTTCAGCTGCAAGAAATAGAAGCCGTTTCTAAAACATACAGGAGTTGGTTAGGACAAAAACTTCTTTTAATATGGAGAATATTCCTTCTATTGTGTGCTGCTGCTTTTATTTACAACCCGACTTAAATCAGCCTTTAGGCTTGATAGTACTGGGGTCCGTTCTTCGTACCTCCCTACTGAAAAAAAACAGCTTAAACCAGGCTAGGCTGGTTGGCTGGTTTAAGCTGGTTGACCAGGCTGGTTTTAGAGGGGTTTTGGCCATTTCCAGGCTGGTTTCCAGCTATTTCCAGCCTGGTCTTAGCTGATCAGGCTGGGAGATGACCAGAACCAGCTATGT